CTTCCTCGCTACACATGCTCAATGCCTTCGAGGGATGGTGTTTGTGCCGTACGTTTCGACGGCCGAGGAGGGAGGAGGAGACTATGGCGGACTGGAACCGACCACGGTACCACGAGGCCAGAGAGCAATTTCGATCTTATGGATTTGCGAGTTTGGTGCAGCGATTTCTCCGTATGGCGTGGAACTCCGCTAAGGATGCTGCAGATTTCGTTTCTATATTGTGTACTGCTTCTCATGAAGACATATCTTCGACGCAACGTACGTGGAGAGATCATCACATGACTACGGTTGCATACGGTCCACTGTGGGACAGGCTCAGGACGGATGCGTCGGAGTGCCTGCGGGGTATGTTTCACTTCCAGGAGGCTTCGCAGCTAAAAAGGAGACATGTTAGCTCAGGTCGAGCTATTGGCCAGAGATGCTGGCTATTTTATTTCTGTGAATTCTACGGACTCAAATGGTGGGAGTCCTTTGTGCCGACAGATGCTGCGTATGTTCAGTTCTGCGAACGCACGTGTACACGGACGATGCTGAGTTATTTTCAGAAAAGAAAAGGGTACGGTACAACGGGTGGGGCCCTGCAGGAGGTACATACTATCACACAAAACGACCTACACACTTATGGGGCCCAAGAGGGCACTGCGGTTTTCAACGACAAACTGGCCAAACGTATCGCGTTACAAAATATGAAGGAGGTTGAGTACGACCTCGACTCATTTGGGATCCCTGTGTTCATTTCTGGGGACAGTCTTCTGGTGGTGTCTTGGCTTCAGGGTGTCTGGAGGGTGCTTAATCGTACATATCAGGATAGGATCAACAGAATGATTAACCAACTTGACAACATGTGTCAGAGGTTTGGAATTAGGCCTGCCTGTCATGGGAGGGAAATCGTTGACCACACATATAGGGAATGGAACACGCGTGCAGATGTACTCACTCATACGGCCCGTGTCGGGCCACCAGTGATTCGAGATAGGATAGGGCTTTACGCCCCTCAGTTACAACAGGTGTTTCGCGTTTGTGCCATCAGAGCTGGATTTGATGGTGGCGTCTCTTGCGACGGCGTAGGAGTCGGGTGCTGGATAGATGTTGGACGTATATCGAGGCTCTCAAGGCAGCCACTCAGCCATGATATTATATGGACGGAGGTGTATAGTGCGGCGTTCTCGATTGATCCAACTTCAACAGTGACTGATGCCGAGATCTCGGCCGTTGAGCATGCGATTATAATCTTGCCGCGGGTTGTGCAAGCGTATTTCGGACAGGATATGATGTGATTTTGATTGTGCTCACTCACGCCATGCCTTTGTTTGTCGTGTGTGTGTGCTTGACTTCTCATCCTCCTAATAAGAGTCGGCTTTCGCCTCTGATCGTTCGGATCGGTGAGGCTTCCGCCTGCTCCCGATGCGTCCGCTCCTTGCTTCCGACTAGGCTGGAAAGCCTGCACAGTCGACCGCAAAGTCCGCAAAAAAGAAAGGTTGACGGTTCACCGCCGGCGCCCAGTAATTCCGGCGCGGTGGAGAGCTAGTTGGCAAGAAAAATCTCGACGGACCTTTTTGTGACTTTTGGTCGGTTGAAAATTTTTATTCTCAAAATTCAACAATTCGTTAGAGCTCTAGTATTTTTCCCATGATATTCGATCTCATTCCCGCTCGCCGTCTTGATCTCAGCTCGATCGGGTACCTTTCACTGCCAAAAAGCAGGCAGGCGGGATGGGCCGTTTCGAGTCATCTCGACAGGCGTTGTCGGATTTTTGACTTAACTCGAGCTATAGGACAGCTGCAGAGCTGATATTTACAGAAATTTAGAATGATGAGGCGCGTTTATCTGTTGAATCCAGAGCTCTGAACTCGGTCTGCTGCCCGAGCTAGGTCCGCGAAATTATTCGTATTGTTCGAATCATTTTGAGAGGTGCTGTCGGTTTTTCTGCACTTAACTCGGGCTGTGGGAGGGCTACAGGGCTGGTAATCACAGGAATCGATTTGGAGACATCAGGGGCGTCCGGCTGTCGCATTCAGAGGTCTGAACTCGGTCTGCTACTCGAGCTAGGTTCGCGAAACTATTCGTAATGTTCGAGTCATCTTGAGAGGTGCTGTCGGTTTTCTGTACTCAACTTGAGCTATAGGACAGCTACAGAGCTGAGACTTACAGAAACCGATTCAGAATGATGAGGCTTGTTTGTCAGTTGAATCCAGAGCTCTGAACTCGGTCTGCTGCTCGAGCTAGGTCCGCGAAACTGTTCGTATTGTTCGAGTCATTTTAAGAGGTGCTGCCGGTTTTCTGCACTTAACTCGGGCTGTAGGGGGGCTACAGGGCTGGTAATCACAGGAATCGATTTGGAGACCTCAGGCGCGTCGTCTGTTATTCGAGTCATCTAGACCAGTGATGTCGGTTTTCTGTACTCAGCTCAATATTCAGAGGAGCTACAGAGCTGGTGCGCACATAAACCGATTCAGTATCACCAGGCGCGTCCGCCTGCCGCATTCAGAGGTCTGAACTCGGTCTGCTACTCGAGCTAGGTTCGCGAAGCTATTCGTATTGTTCGAGTCATCTTGAGAGGTGCTGTCGATTTTCGCACGTAACTCGGGCTGTAGGAGAGCTACAGAGCTGACACGCGCAGAAACTGATTCGATATCATCGTGCGCGTTCGTCTGTTGAATCCAGAGCTCTGAACTGGGTTTGCTACTCGGGCTAGGTCTGCAAAGCTATGCGTATTCTTCAAGTCACCTTGGCAGATGTTGTCCCTTTTCTGTATTGAACTCGGGCTGTAGGATAGCTACGAGCTGGTGCGCACAGAAAACGATCGAGAAGCATCAGGGGCGTTCGGCTGTTGCATCGAGAGGTCTGAAATCGCTCGGGCTGAAAAACTATTCGTTCTCTGCAGTTCTTTTTTGACATTAGATATGGTCAGGGAGCTCTACGAGTCCCCCGGCGGTAAGAAAGGTTGACGGTTTACCGCCGGCGCCCAGTTGGCCGACCCGACCTTAAGAGACAATGTGGTAACTTTGGGTCGGTTTTGCAATCTTTGTGCAAAATTTTAAAGTTCGTTTTGGGAACCGGTATTTTTCTCACCTGTAGTGGGTTGTGCCGCGTCTGCCAGTGAAATTCTCAGGTCCGTAGCTGCAATATTAATATCAAAAGACTTGAGGGAACCGGCGGCCGTTTCGAGCTTCTTGACACGCGTTGACGGTTTTCTGTATTTCTGAAGATTTAGGAGAGGTACAGAGCTGCTACTTACAGAATCCGATTCAGAATCATCAGGCGCGTTTGTCTGTTACATCGAGAGGTCTGAACTCGGTCTGCTACTCGAGCTAGATCCGCGAAGCTATTCGTATTATACGAGTGATCTGAGAGGTGCTGTCGGTTTCCCACTTGAATGAACCGACTTTCGGTGAAAGCTGAAAAACGTAATTGTTGAAGCTTTTCAGCTCACGCGTAAGAAGCTTCCCCCATGTGTTCCAAGCAGCGTCGTGCAGACAAGAGCTCTACGAGGCTCCCGGCGGTAACCTGGTTGACGGTTTACCGCGGGCTCCCAGTTGCTCTTCGGGTTTTGGACGCTACCAAGTTAGACCATTTATTTTAAGAAACCAGACTTTTCGCACCTGTAGTGGGTTATGCCGCGTCTACCATGCAAATTCTCAGATTCGTAGGTGCAGTATTACTATCAAAACACTTGGGGGAACCGACTTTCGATAAAATCAGAAAACCGTAATTTTTAGAGTTTTTTGGGTCTTGCTCCAGACGCTTCCTGTATGTCTACCGAGGAGCGCCGTTTGAGAAAAGAGCTCTGGGCGGGGCGGGCGCGTGCGGCCGCGGAACTCCCGATGGAGCCACGGAACGTTGTTTTCGGGTGGCGCGGCCGCATGCGGCCGTGGCCACTGGAACGTTCGGTGGAGCTCCCTACGGGGCCACGAAGCGCTGTACTGGTCGGGGGAGTCGCATGCGGCCGCGGCCACTGGAGCGTTCCGTGGAGCTCTCCCTGGGGCCACGAAGCGCTGTACTAGGTGGGGGGAGACGCATGCGAACGTCCCCTCTGGGGATGTCGTTGGAGCTCTCCCTGGGGCCACGAATCGTTGTACTGGGTGGCGCGGCCGCATGCGGCCGCGGCCACTTGGGCCTTCGGTGGAGCTCCCTGGGGGACCACGAAGCGCTGTATTGGGTGGCGCGGACGCATGCGGCCGCTGCCATTGGTGTCTTCGGTGGAGCTCTGTATTGGGGGGGGGGATGATGAATTTTACTGGGTGTGGGAAGCGCTTGCGGCCGCTGCCATTGGCGCCTTCGGTGGAGTTCCTTTAGGGGGGGAGGCACGAAACATGTCACTGGGTGGCTCGAGCGTTTTCTCTGGCCTGGGTCGGGCAGCCAGCCCGCGCCACCGCTCGCATGCCAGGCCAGCCGCTGCGCTCCGAGAGGCCAGCATGACCTGCCGCCGCCGCGACCGCCGCGGCGCGGCCGCGGCAACGCTTTGCGCAGCCCTGGGGGCCACGTGGCGCGGGCATCTGGCCCCAGCGGCCTTCGCCGGGCCGGCCGCGGCGCCCACCCCGGTGCGCGGGGCGCCGCTGCGGGATACGGCCGCCAGCCCCGGCCGCGAAGCGCCGGCTCCTGCAGCTGGACACCCCAGTAGCGTGGAGCGCCAGATCGGCGTCAAGTACATATTTTGGGACAAAGGCGGTGCGGCGTGGCGCATTAAGTATCAAATACAGAACGGCCCAGATCGAGGTTGCATCAAACAGACACGGTTCCGCCCGAAGGACGAGTCGCCGGAGCAGGTGGAGCAGGCGCGGCTCGCCGCAGTCGAGGCGCTGCGGCGGCTGGAGGACGAGGACCGGCTCGGGCGGATCCGCTCAGGTCGGCACGGTGCGGAGCGCCAGAGCGGCGTCGAGCACATACATTGGGACAAATGCAGTGCAGTGTGGCGCATTCAGTATACGATGCAGAACGGCCCAGATCAAGGTCGCAGAAAGCGGCCCGTGTTCCGACCGAAGGACGATTCGCCGGAGGAGGTGGAGCAGGCGCGGCTCGCCGCCGTCGAGGCGTTGCTGCGGCTGGAGGAGGAGGACCAGCTCGGGCAGGCCCGCGCTGGCAGCTACAGCCCCGCAGAGCGCCAGAGCGGCGTCAAGCACATACGCTGGGACAACCGCAAGACGGCGTGGCGCATTAAGTATACGATGCAGAACGGCCCAGATCAAGGTCGCAGAAAGCAGCCCGTGTTCCACCCGTATGACGAGTCGCCAGAGGAGGTGGAGCGGGCGCGGCTCGCCGCCGTCGAGGCGTTGCGGCGGCTGGAGGAGGAGGACCGGGTCGGTCGGATCAGCTCGGGCCGGCACAGTGCGGTGCGCCAGAGCGGCGTCAAGCACATATTGTGGGACAAAGGCAGTGCAGTGTGGCGCATTCAGTATACGATGCAGAACGGCCCAGATCAAGGTCGCAGAAAGCGGCCCCTGTTCCGACCGAAGGACGATTCGCCGGAGGAGGTGGAGCAGGCGCGGCTCGCCGCCGTCGAGGCGTTGCTGCGGCTGGAGGAGGAGGACCGGGTCGGTCGGATCAGCTCGGGCCAGCACAGTGCAGTGCGCCAGAGCGGCGTCAAGCACATATTGTGGGACAAATGCAGTGCGGCGTGGCGCATTCGGTATACGATGCAGAACGGCCCGGATCAAGGTCGCAGAAAGCAGCCCGCGTTCCGCCCGAAGGACGAGTCGCCAGAGGAGGTGGAGCGGGCGCGGCTCGCCGCAGTCGAGGCGCTGCGGCGGCTGGAGGACGAGGACCTGCTCGGGCAGGCCCGCTCAGGTCGGCACCGTGCGGAGCGCCAGAGCGGCGTCAAGCACATAGGCTGGGACAAATGCAGTGCAGTGTGGCGCATTCAGTATACGATGCAGAGCGGCCCGGATCGAGGTCGCAGGAAGCAGCCCGTGTTCCGACCGGAGGACGAGTCGCCAGAGGAGGTGGAGCGGGCGCGGCTCGCCGCCGTCGAGGCGCTGCGGCGGCTCCAGGAGGAGGACCGCGCGCTCGAGCGCAGCAGCTCGGGCCGACGGAGCGCGGGATGCCAGAGCGGCGTCCAGCACGGGAGCTCCAAGACGACGAGCGGCGCAGACAGAGGCACCGGGAAGCAGCCCGCGTGCCGCCCGCAGGACGAGTCGCCGGAGGAGGCGGAGCGGGCGCCGCTCGCCGCCGCCGAGGCGCTGCGGGGGCTCCAGGAGGTGGACGGCGCCCTCGAGGCGAGCGCCTCGGGCGGGCCCTGTGCCGGCCGCGGCCGCAGGGAGGTGCCGCTTCTCGACGGGCTGTTCCTGGTCGTCGGAGAGGCGGTTTGACGTGGTGGGCGGGGTCCTGAAGGTCACCTGTCGGTCGCCTGCGGTCGGGCGATTCTTCTTGGCGGAGGTCTTGCTGTTGCGTGCCGACTGGGCCCGCAACCCGCAGCAGCTGCATGCGCCGTTCTGAAGCTTGCAGTTGCCAGCCCTGGTCAAAAAGAATAGTGGTAAGGCAACCTAAGTGTAAGTGCACGCACTGTTCCGGGAGAAGCAGGAAGAGGCTTATCCATCCGTTGTTCAGATCAGCGGAAAGCCGTGCGGCATCAGGTGCCCCAAGGTAGCTCGACTGGCCGTTTGTCGACATCGTCCTGGCCAGCTTCTCTGAATATTTTCCCTCCTTCCCCTCTCCTCCTCCATCCTTCCTCCCTCCCCCTTCTTCGCTTCTTCCCACAGGGCCCGTCGCGGGTCACTGTTGCTCGCGGCGGGCACGTTGTCACCGTTCTCAGGGGCCCGCCGCTTGGGGGCTAGCTCTTTGAACTCGCTGCCGCTGCGTGGGAGTCGGCGAATTCCAGCGACTTCTTCTGTCCCTACCCCTCCCTCCTTTTACCCCCCCTCCCTCTCCTTCCTCCCTCCTCCATCCTCGAGCGAGCGACGAGGGAAGGGGCGAGGGTGAGGACGACCAGCCCACGGACCAGCAGAGCGGAGCCGCCGGAACGAACGGGTGCGCGCGGCCCCTGAGCCGTTACACGGTCAGGTCCCTGGGTCTGATCCCTTCCGAAGGGGGGGTGTCCCTCCCCATCCGCTCGGACCTGCCCCGGGGGGGGGGTCTGCCAATGGGGGGCGCCCGAGAGCCCAGTCGGCCATGCGTAAGAGTGGCTTTTCGCCGGGTGATTCTTGGTGCGGGTGCAGTGGGGTCTCCAGACGGCTGAATGCGATGCGATAGCAGCGTCTTGCGCGCTCGGGTTTGGCCTCCCGGCGCCCCGCGAAAGTCGCGCAGCAGAACTCACTTTTGCCCAGGGACGCTCTGACGTGTAGCCGACGAGAGCCCGGGCCAATCCTCCGCGATTTTAGGCTCATCCCCCGTCCTCCTCCTCCTCCTCCTCCTTCTCCTCCTGCTCTTGCTCTTTTAGGCTCCCCCCCGTCCTCATCCCTGCCCCTGCTCTTCGCATGTCATCAGCATCATCACCAACATCATCATCAGCAGCATCATCAGCATCATCATACAGATACTCAACATCATAAGTATCGTCATAATCAACATCAACATCAGCATCGTCATCATCAGCATCCTCATCATCCTCGTTATCATCACCAGCATCATCATGATCATCATCATATGATCATCATCATCATCATCATCATCATCATATTATCATAATCACCATCATCATCGTCATCATCAACAGCATCATCACCATCACTATCACCATTACGATCATCATCATCATCAGCAGCATCACCATCACCATCACTATCACTATCGCCATTATCAGCATCATCATCGTCATCTTCTTCGTCATCCTCATCACCCTCATGATCCTCGTCATCGTCATCATCATCACCATCATCAGCATCAGCAGCAGCATCAGCAGCAGCATCAGCAGCATCAGCATCACCATCACCATCATCATCAGCATCATCATCACCGCCATCGACAATCATCATCACCATCAGCATCATCATCACCATCAGCTTCATCACCATCATCCTCATCATCAGCAGCATCATCATCTGCATCATGAACAGGATGTTTCGAGTTGCCAGGTGGAGGGTGGAGTGCCCCGAGTCCGTAGGATGGCGAGTCCAAGCAATGCGGACCTGAAGCGCGCGAAGATTTCTGAAACTCTGGCGGGCACCCAACAGACACATGCTTATGCGGAGCCCCTTTCTCCAGTAGACATGAGGAGAGGCCGTTGGCAGGTGCAGGGTGGAGCCCCACGGTCCTCCCCCGTTGGTTTTCTGCACTGTGGAGCGGTGCCGACAGAGGTGCCGCTTTGCGGTTTACGGGTGCACCGCGGCAGCGACAGAGTTAGGTTTTGTGGTGAGTCGCGATGGTGCTTGGCCGCAAATCGCAAACTGACGCTCGGGTGTAGCCCGATCCTAGCAGCTCTCACTGGATGGGCAACTCTGTTGGCCCCCCTATGGGTCCTGATCTGATCGTCAGAACCATCACCATCATCATCATCATCATCATCATCATCATCATCATCATCATCATCATCATCATCATCATCATCATCATCATCATCATCATCATCATCATCATCATCATCATCATCACCACCACCACCATCACCACCATCACCGCCATTCTGGCTCGGGCATCTAGCCGTCCCCGTGGCTTCCCTCCCTGCTTTCCCCCCCCTCCCCGCGTGCGCCATGGTCGTCGCTTCGCGTCTGGCATGGACTCGGCCGCAGGTCCTGCAGGGCGCCAGCGTTCACTCCTCTGCGGACTACGCGGCCATGCAGGGGCGCTTCAAGGTGAAGCTGACCATCGACACAAGCATGCAGGTGTCGCCGTTCGCTTAGCTTGCAACCCTTGGTCTGGTCGATCTTCTTCGTCAACTGGTTGGCACTCACCTGACAGTGGATCGCACGACGCCCCTCTGTGGTTATCTTCGCGGCCTGTGCCTGGTCCTCCTGCTGAGGATGACGATGACGATAACGGAGCTGGAGGGGCTGACCCTGGTGGCGGAGGTGGGGACAGCCATGGGTGACGTGATGAGCCTGACAAGCCTGACCCGTGGCATGGACTAGGCGGTAGCGACCCTAAGGGTGAAGGCGGCGCTGACGTATGGCTGTTCTTGGGCGGATCTGAACGGCCTCGTCGATGCGAAGATGGTGGCGGCCCAGCCCCTCGCTTGCCTGGCGTTCCTCGTCTTCCCGAGTTTGCTTGGAACCGAGATGCACCCGGGTTCAAGCTGCCGCCCAGTGGTGACGTGGATGTCCTTCTCCAGGAGCTTGTCCCTGGAGTGCTGCGTGGTGTTGCGGGTTCTCTTCTGTGCCCCGGAGTGTTACTTGGTGGTTTTAATATACCCGGCACCGTATCTCCTCGTGATGTGAATGCTGGTGGAGATTAACTTGGAGGTGCAGACCTTCCTGGTGAAGAACTCCTTGGAGTGCTACCTGGTGGTGCGGATATTCGGGGTTTGTCGGTTCCTGGGGGCGGGGGGGCTCACGGAGTGCTGCCTGGAGAAGTGGTTCCTTCGGGCGCAGTGCACCATGGAGTGCTATTTGGTGGTGCGGATCTTCCTGGTGCAGCTCGCCCTGGCGGGGGGAGTGGCTCCAGCGGTCTACCTGGCGGTGCGGATCTTCATGGTGAGCCTCGCCCTGGGGCAGCGTTCGTTGGCGTACTACCTGGCGGTGCGGATCTTCAGCGTGAACTGTTTCCTGACGGAGAGGCCGTTTGTAGGGTGCTACCTGGAGGTGCGGATCTTCCTGGAGGAGGGTTCCCAGGAGGGCTACATGGCGGTGCGGATATTATTGGTGAAGTTCTTCCTGGACGAGTGGAGGTTTGTGGAGTGCTGCGTGGCTGTGCGGATCTTCATAGGTGAAGTGCCAGCTGGTGCTCCCAACGCCTGAGGTGGTCTTTCGGATGGTCTTCCTTTCGGCCGTGAGCATGTGCGTGCTGGTGCTGGAGGGCCTGCCGTCGCAAGGTGCATCCCTGGGCTGGCGGAGCCACTCGCGCTGCTTGGGTCCCATCACCGTGACGTCGGTAACTAAGGCGCAAGTGACATTGTCGCGCCTGTTGGGGCGACGGCGAAGAAGCGGAGAAAGGAAAAGAAATCCACGCCTTCGGCTAATCATGAGCTTTCTGCTGCTGATGGTGATGGGGTTTTATACGAAGTCGGTTCCCCTACGTCTTTCGATAGTAATATTGCAGCTGCGGACCTGAGAATTTCATAGGCAGACGCGGCATAACCCACTACACGTTACAAAAATATTGCTCCTCAAAACGAATGGTCAAATCTCTCACAATCTCCTCCTCCTCCTCCCTCCCTCCCTCCCTCCCTCCCTCTCTCCCTCCCTCCCTCCCTCCCTCCCACCCTTCGTCCTCCTCGTCGGCGGGTGTTCGGCGGCTTCGACTCCGACGTGAGGCCTCGGACCCGCTCTTCTCGTGTCGTTTTGCCTCTTGTGGTATTGTCTCGTCGTTCTGTCGCCTCCCCTCTTGTTTCCTGTCCTCTCGCGTTGTCGTTTCTGCGCTTTGGGGTCGTCACTGCTTCTCCCTTGGCCTTGTTCTCCTCCTCTCCTCCTTCGCTCCCCCGTCGCACTCCGCTCTCGGAAACAGTAACGAAGCAAAAGTGTTTCCTGGGAGCGGCGATATCATCATCGTCATCATCATCATCATCATCATCATCATCATCATCATCATCATCATCATCATCATCATTATCATCATCATGATCATCATCATCATCATCACCAGCATCATCATCATCATCACCATCATGATCATCATCAGCAGCATCATCATCAGCAGCATCACCATCACCATCACCATCATCATCGTCATCGTCGTCATCACCACCATTGTAATCATCACCATCATCCTCATCATCGTCATCGTCACCCGCATCTTCATCAGTACTACCACCACCATCATCAACATCATTACAATCATCATCGTTATCCTCATCATCATCACCACCATCATCATCACCGTCCGTGCGCCACGTCCCGATCGAGGGCTGAAGCACCCTCCCTGGCCTGCGAGCCGCAGCCCCTGACCGAAACCGAAGGGACAACAAACCTTTCCATGGCCGCGCTCGACCGCCCTCGCTGGCGGGAGCGTGCAAGGCGACGGCGCTGCAGTGCAGAGCGGCAGAGCGGCCGAGGAGGAGGAGGAGGGGGTGGCGGTGGTGGCGGAGGAGGAGGAGGAGGAGGAGGAGGAGGAGGAGGAGGAGGAGGAGGAGGAGGAGGAGGAGGAGGAGGAGGAGGAGGAGGAGGAGGAGGAGGGGAGGAGAGGAGGAGGGAGGAGGAGGGAGGAGGAGGAGGAGGAGGAGGAGGAGGGGAACAACGCGGGGCGGTGCTCTTCCAACAGAGGACCCGACACCACAGGACGGTTGGGAGCAAAAACCCTCTTCGGGATGGGCCGTGGCCGTTCTGGCCCCCCGGGGGCGCCGCCCTCGCGCGACCGTGCGCCCCCGCGGGCCGCGCGGCCCGCGCGCCCCTGCGGCCGGGCGGCGCCGCACGGCGCCGCAGAGCGCGCCGGTTGCTCGGCGGCGACGACAGGGGCGAATTGCGCAGGGTCTCCCCCTACTCTTCCATGCCTTTCCCTTCTAATCTGGGCCTCCTAGATGGGGTCGGAGTAGATGGGGTCGGAGGATCGCGCCGCATCGCCGATGCATCGCCGATGCGGCTCGATGTGCTTCACGTCAACGTCGCCGATGCATCGCCGACGTCGACGATGCATCGCCGGTGCATCGCCGATCCATCGCCGATGCATCGCCGATGAATCGCCGATGTATCGGCGATACGGCGCAATCCTCCGACTCCATCTACTCCAACCCCATCTAGGAGGCCTCTATCTAAGCAGTTTCTCCCTGTCACACCCCGAGGCCGGCCGAAAAGGAGGGCCGGGCGTTTCGACGGATACCTCTTTGCCACTTATGACCCTGAAGCTTCAAACTTGGCATTAGTTTCGCAGATGGAGGGCGGGTCGTTTTCAAAATGTGGCTCTCGCCTTAGCGCAGCGCGCATTCGTTTTAAATAATTGCAAGAGGTTCACGGATTGAGGGCGGGTGGTTTTCAAGATGTGGTTCTCGCGTTAGCTCCGCGCACATTCGATGTAAACAACTGCAGAAGTTTCACCAGAAACGGTCTTTTGGACAGATTCAGGATTATGAGGGCGCAACAGTTACGTTGACTCGCGGTGTTGAAATCCCAGGAATGGCGTTCTGGCACGATTCTGGTCGTCAAGACGCAACAGTCAAGTTGATCCGTCACAATGGAGTTCCGACAATAATGTTTTAGCATGCTTCAGGGTCTTCAAACAGTTGTCTTCCAACGAGGCAGTTCCCTCAATAGAAATTAACCCTTGTAGGGGCCTATGAAGAGGGAGCTTGGAGAGAGGGTTTATGCCAACATCGTTGATGACTCTCGGGCTTTACACTGGTCCTCCTCTTCCTCCTCCTCCTCCTCCTCCTCCTCCTCCTCATCATCATCATCCTCATCCTCATCCTCATCCTCATCCTCATCCTCCTCCCTTTCCTCCTCCTCCTCCCTCTCCTCCTACTCCTCCTCCTCCTCCTCCTCCTCCTCCTCCTCCTCCTCCCCCTCCTCCTCCTCCTCCTCCTCATCATCATCATCCCCCTTCTCCTCCTCCCCTCCGCCTTTCCCCTCCCCTCCTCCTCCCCCTCCCCTCCTCCTCCCCCCTCCCCCTCCTGTCCTCCTCCCCCTCCCCCTCCTGCCCCCCCTTCCCCTCCTCCCCCTCCTCCTCCCCCTCCTCCCCCTCTTCCCCCAGGGGCGAAAAGCCCAGGGGCGGGGTCAATACGGTTGGACCGAGGTATAAGGTCGAGGTCGGTTCGGGGATGGTACCCTAATGTTCTTCGTGCTTGTTGGATGTTCTTGTGCATCCTAGAGGAGGGCACCCTCGAGTGAACTGAAGGTTTGGGTCATTTGGGCTGGCGAAGGGTCTCGTGTTCTTGAAGGATGTTGTTATGTCTCAGGTCCGACCGTATCCCAGGGGCGGGCATTACGCGCAATCGCCTGAGAGCCTCGCCGAAGACATGGACCATCGGCGCGCTCCCGGACAATTGGCATCGCTCGGGCGTGTGCATCTTTCCTCGGCCAGGACCATCGAGGAGCATCTTGGATCACTTTTCGGAAACATGCGCGCAAGAAATCTACCAAACATGCACGGGGGAATGGACGTCCGAGCGGTGGCAAGATGTGCCCGTCGGTCGTTGAAGGTGTAGGTATTTTGGGATGCCCAGGCGGTAACCTGGTTGACGGTTTACCGCCGGTTCCCATTGGTCGACCCGGCCCGGACGGACAATGTGTGAACTTTGGGTCGGTTGGACAAACTTTGTGAGAGATTTGAACATTTGTTTTGAGACCCGGTATTTTTCGCACCTGTAGTGGGTTATGCCGCGTTCGCCAGTCAAATTCTCAGGTCCGTAGCTGCAGTATTATTATCAAAACACTTGGCGGAACCGTCTTTGGGTGAGAACTAAAAAGACGTACTTTTTCGAGTTTCAGCTCGCGTATAAGGAAGCTTCTCCCACGTGTTCCAAGCAGCGCCGTGCGAGAGAAGAACTCTACGAGGCTCCCGGCTCAAGGCTCAAGGCTCAAGGCTCCGCGAACGTTCATTTTCTCCTGCCTGGGGAACCTCCGCGAAGGTGAATGTTGAGCTAGCGTGTTGTTTTGCTCTGCTTACGCAACTGCCCATCTCCCTTTACATCCTGCTTGTCATTGTTGGTCTCTCATATCCATTTCTCGTTGCGGTTTGGTGGTGGCAATTTGTATACGCTGACTTGTTCCTCACTGCCTAGAGTGGTGCTCGTAAGTCTCTGTTCTTTCAGATCTGCCTTGAGTGGATTGCATATTGTTCAATTTGCAGTATTTCATTGTTGTGATCTCAGGTGTCCTCACACATCTTCCCTCAGTTTTCTGCCATATACCTATCATTTGTGGTCTTGTTTGTGCCAGATTCCTCATGTGCGGAGTCTCGCATCCAGGTGTTTGCGTCGGGCTCGGGCTTGCCAACTTGGATGGGTTCGACCGAATTGTCCTCTTCCGTTGGTGCTCGAAGGCCTAGTCGCCCGTGACACGGTCTTGCATGCAGAGTTGGATGCTCAGGCTAATAATTTGTTGACAGCATTACTCCATCCCTCTGATAGCTGCCCGAAAGTTGATTCCGTTGCACTTCGCTGTTTTTCTTCTGCTATTGATGCTGGGGTCCAGGTTGACGAGGTCGAATATCCTTCTCAAAGCATTCGAGTATTTTCAATTGATGCTGGTGTCCAGGTTGACGAAGTGCACTGTCCCTTTCAGAGTATTCGAGTGTCCTCAATTGATGCTGAGGTCCAAGTGCATTCTTAAAGCATTCGAGTGTCTTCAATGGGTGCCGGCGTGCAAACTCAGTTCACTGGCGAGGACGCCTGTGTGCAAACTCAGTTCACTTCAATGGATGCTGGCGTGCATACTCAGTTCACTTTGAAGGACGCCTGTGTGCAAACTCAGCTCACTTTCCAGGACGCCGTCAAAACATGGATTGACAGGAGTACTGCGCAGAAGGGGTTCACCGGCCAGATTGCGCTGCAGTATTTATTCCAGGGGCTTGAATTATTCGTAGACCTCATGACAGAGCCAGTGACCATCCCAAAACATCATGTATCATTTTGGTTCCATACTTTGTTCAACCTCACGGATCATGTTCAGTCGTTTCTGGGAGAACTCTTGGGTTGTCTCAAATCTCACCGTTTCGTGACGGGGAAAATGGACCGTGCCGAGGAGCCTAGGTTCAAAGCTCCAGGGTACATTGTCGATTGTTTCAGTTTTGTTCCAGACGGACTCTTCGAGAGTGCCCGTCGCGCAGACCCGCGGAGACTCCCAGCAGACACCCGGAGACTACAGCAAATGTGGGGGCCCCAAGAGCTCAGAATTACGTCGCCACGTGGACGAATCGCCTCTCCGTCGGGGTCGTCGTCTGTCCGTGTCGCTTCGGATGTGATAGCCAAGACTGGACATCAAAAGTTGGTTCCCGAATCTTCCCAAAGCATTCGAGTTTCTCCCGATAACGGTGGGAGCTCTAGAGGTAGCCGCAAAGGCAGAGGCAAAGGCAAACGATAGGGCAGCTTTGAACATGATTGTCTGCATACATTACCTCTTTGTGCATTGTGCGCTGTATTGTATTGGATTGTTGATTGTGATTGCCTCGCGTGGTCTTTTTGATTGTTGATTGTGATTGTCTCGTGTGGTCATTCTGTGCATTGTTTTGAGCTCTAATAA